GTTAGTAGGTCATTATTTTGACTTAGTATCTCATTATTTTGAGTTATTAGATCTTATTTTTTTCCATCAAGTGGCGAAAATGGGTTTCCATAATTATACACAAAAAAGAGGTACTTATTATATTATGTCCCATTTCTGCCAATATATCCCCCTAAATCCTACTCACAGGACCTTTAGAGTCAGTGGCTGTGCAAAAGCACAGTGGTAGTAGGTAACTGAGTTTAAACTATTGTATCAGACTTTATGATGGATCTAAAATTTCTCAAATATGATGGATGTAAATATGTGTATTCCTGCCAGGAAAGTCCAAGGATAAACAACATTAAGGGTAAAGGATGGTTTATACAACTTTTATTTTATCTTATTTTTTAATTTGTTATATGTCTGGCCATTGCTTCTATAAGTTATTGTAATTATTACTTATTTTACAAGTAACACTGCACTAACCAAAATTAGAGATTTTGGAATGCTGCAGGATCACTACAGTTAAGTCAGTTTTTCTGCCGATTCAGCATGGTGAATCAACAACGGCGGAGTCTGTTGGTGAATGAAATCACTCTGATTGGCAGTTCAGCTCAGCACTCGAGAAGAGAATTGAAAGTGAGGAAAATAAACTGAATTGTAAACTGAATATGCTAACTGGCTAACTACTGTCAAGATGGTCTTCCTGTTTCCCTGTTTGAATGATGAATACAGATTACCACTGTCCGCTGGTGTGGAGAGTTATTTCCTCTCATGCAGGGTCAGAACCTACGTGCTGGTTGGCCATTGGCTGTAGTCATTGCGGTTTGTTCAGGTGCAACTTTTTGGCTGAGAAACTGTAATGTCAGGCAGGAGGCCTTCATTTTCGCAAGTTCTCTCAAGTCAGTTTGGTGTGTTGGGGCCTTAAGAGCAATGAAAATCTGATTATTTTACATGTTGTGATAGCTAAATTAAGACTAAGGCATTGTCAAATTTGCTTTACAGATTGTAAAAATGGTAATAGCCCACTGTAGCTGGGACTGTGCAACACAAGATGTCACTATGAAATCGTAGTTTCTAGTTTTAAGTAACATATTATTGAATGAAAGAATGTAAAGTACCATTTCCAGAGTTTCAGCATGTTCAGAACCAAAAACAATACAGAGCTTGTACTTTTACACATAATTTTGGTGCTAATTTTCCAAGTTATCCTGTTATCCTCCTAATAAAAATATTGTCAAGAGGAGAAAAAAAAAAAACCTAACAGTATTTCACAGTTACAACTACACATACTGTTCATGTGTAACTGGGTACACACACACACACACACACACACACACACACACACAGATATATTTCATTATAACATTTTTTTTGTTGCCTTTCATTGTCTGAGCAGTAAATTATCTTTACATATTTTCCACTCTCTGTCTGTCTCTCTCCCTCTCCTTCTCTCCCTGCCTTTACGCACAGATGAGTTGACCTTCAGGAAATCTGGGCTGGTGATCAGATTTAGCGCATATTGCAATATGCCTGTGTAGTGAGATTAAAAGAAAAAGAGCAGTTTGGCAAAAGCTTTGTGGTATTTGTACATACTAAAAATGCTATAAGAGGCTTCTCTCTCTCTCTCTCTCTCCCTCTCCCTCTCTGAGAGAAATAGCTGATGACAGCTCTGACCAATTTGCCAGAATTGTCTCCTTCTTTTTGAAAGGTCTGATGAAGGGCGTGTAGCCCGAAACGTCACATTAGTGGTTAAATCAGACAAATACAGTCTTAATCTCTAAAATTCAACAAAAATGAAAAGTTTATCTAAAACATCATCTTGATGAGTCGACATCTAAACCAATCAGCTGTTAGATCAGGTGAGAGCCAGGCGGTGCAGTCAGTGGCTGTTTATAATTAGTTTAGTTTAGTTTAGTTTATTAGTTTATAGTATCGTGGACAATCCCAATTAACTGACTGTAGAAATAACAGTAAAAAGGGCAGCTTTAGCCAACATGGCTAATATCCAGCTATAGTCCCCGGCCTGTTGACAATAGGCACCCTAAAAAGAACAGTACATTACAGCACATTCATTAAAAAGAGAGAGTTAAGAGTGAAGAGAAAAAGATAGATCAATAAAGATAAAAAGGAACAGTAAAACATCAATACAATCATGCAGAGACAGCACATATAACCAAAACATACAGAAGCAGCATGTGCTATATAATCACACACAAAACATCAGCACATACAACCACATTCAGGGATGCAGACAGACAGCACGTATAGACATGCAGCCTTTATGATCATGATGCAATAACACACAGCCATAGGTTAGTGAGCGGGTCCTCATCTATGGAGATTGCCATGTTGCACTGTCATTTTTCTATAGTAGCCCAGAACAGACAAACCAAACACTGGCATTCGTGTTTTCACTTTGGCCACCGTAGTTAGCAGCCCCTCCGGACACAAACATCGTTGTAAAAACATAGTTTTATAATGTGAAACTGTTTAAACATTAGCAGGTGCTAGGCTAGCAGCCCATCTGTGACGTAGGGCTGTCAAAATTGCTCAAAAATGACGTTCGAATATTCCTTCTAAAAATAACTCATAGGTTCGAACCATTCAAATTTTTTTTTTTTTTTTGCATTATGTCCACAAGAGGGCAAACTAATACAAGGAAACATACTTGTTGTATATGTATTAATACAAGGAAACATAACTACTTGTAGGTATTTTTATTTCAACATAAACGTCTTTGAAAATATTTATATACCTACATATTAAAACACATAAAACAATTATCTATAACATTACGTTATAAACGACCACGGACCTCTCGCTCGCCCCCCCCTCTCTGACCCATGGCCACACCGCCCGCGGAAGCGCTGCGAAGAGCCTCAAAGCGCCGGACCGAGACTGGCTCGAGCCCTGCAGCGATCATTTCAGCGTCTGGTCTATTTTCTGTGCGAGCCGCGAGGGAATGTGTCAAGCCAGGTGACGGAGACAACAGCTGGGAGCAGAACCGCTAGTCGACCAGCGTGAAGAAATGCACGTCTGATGCCAATGCCCACTCACAAAGAGGACAGCTGCAGTGGTGTTTTTTTTCTCCACAATCGAATATCAATTTTCACATTCAAAGGTCCATTTTGTTTTCAAATTCGAATTTAAATTCAAATTTAGAATATTCGTTGACAGCCCTACTGTGACGTGCCGAACTGCACCAGAGAAACACTGATTTTAATGTGAAACGGCTTTATTCAGTGCTTTTACCAGTTTTAGCCACCTGTCTGTTTATTTTGGAGGGGAAGCGACCTTTGTGGACACTTCAGCTCCTGGTAAAAACCTCTTCAACAATTAATGCTTAAGGAATCCTAACAAGGAGTTTAGGCTTGGCACATGAGAGACATTTCAGTTGGTTGCAATCCGCAGTCCTTACTGCTAGATGCCACTAGGCCTACATCCTACATACTGCTCCTTCAAATGTCATTTTAGAAACATTAAAAAGAATATTGATTTTTTTTTTTTTGTCATAAATTACACAATGTTTAAGTTTAATTTTGAAATTTCATTTAAATATTGGCCCACTGGACTTCCATACTCAACTTCAAAATGCCCCTGCTAAAAATAATTCTCCTGCAGTCTTAAGCAATTTGTTTCTGTATGGGTGTGGAGTGAATTTGAATAAGAATGAGCTTATTCTTGCAAAGAGAATCAACAATACAACATACAGCGGTTATTTTTTATGAGCAAATCAAAAGATTCTGCAAATCTCAAGTGTTAAACCTCAGGAATCATTATTCAAAATGTACTAAGCTCCCAGGTTTCCCTCATATTCTTCTCCCCGGGTCACAGTGGGTTAAAATCTGCTGTCTGATATTGAAATCTGAGAAGGTCGCCCTGCAGTGGTCCAGCTTATCCAAGAGCTGTTCTATTCAAAAGAGGCCATGGAGATGAGAGACATCTGAACCCAGATATTGGAAAAGAGGTTTACTCGCACCCACCATTAGTTTCTTTAATAAAATGCTCCCCCCTTCTCTCCTTTCTCTATTGATATTCAGCGTGACCGACCACCATCCCACTATGCACTAGGGCCTCTGATCTGTCTCTCATAATTAGACCGATAAATAGGCCTCCTCCTCTCTTTTTTTCTTCTTCTTCCTTTCTTCCTCTACTTATTTATTCTTATTTCACCCTCTTCTTGTTTCTATTCTATCCTTATTCTCTCACCTGTGAAGGGCTGAGGCACTTGTTGGGGTTGTCAACACGAAAATGTTTAGACAGTTGTTCGTCTGAATACACATGTACCTGGTAAACCTGATAATATCAGGTGTCTGTTGCATCCTTAATTTTTTTTTTGTTAATCCACTTTAGTTCCTGTTAAGAACCGGTTCTCGATTCCCATCCCTAACAGACTCATAGAAAATCCTGAGCATAGTCCGGCAGATGTTGAAGGACCTCAGTTGCCTCAGAAAATAGAGACGGCTCTGGCCCTTCCTGTAGAGAGCGTTAGTGTTCTTAGCCCAGTCCAGTTTATTGTCAGTGTGTACCCCCAGGTACTTATAGTCCCCCACAATGTCCACACTGACCCCCTGGATGGAAACAGGGGTCACCGGTGTCTTTGTCCTCCTCAGATCCACAGCCAGTTCCTTTGTCTTTGCCACGTTGAGCTGCAGATGGTTCTGCTCACACCATGTGACAAAGTTATCCACAACAGCCCTGTACTCATCCTTATCACCCTTGGTGATACATCCAACTATAGCAGAGTCTTCAGAAAAGTTCTGAAGATGGCAGGTCTCAGTGCAATAGCTGAAGTCCGTGGCATAGAGGGTGAAGAGGAAGGGAGAGAGGACAGTCCCCTGCGGGGCCCCGGTATTGCTGACCACTCTGTCTGACACACAGTGTTGCAAGCGCACATACTGTGGTCTGCCAGTCAAGTAGTCTACAATCCAGGACACCAGGGGGGCATCCACCTGCATTGCTGTCAGCTTGTCACCCAGTAGAGCTGGACGTATGGTGTTGAATGCACTAGAGAAGTCAAAAAACATGACCCTCACAGTGCTTGCCGGCTTATCCAAATGGGCGTAGACACGGTTGAGCAGGTAGATAATGGTGTCCTCAACTCCAAGTCGGGGCTGATAGGCGAACTGGAGGGGGTCCAAAAGTGGCTTGACCATGGGCCGGAGCTGCTCCAAGATGAATCTCTCCAGGGTCTTCATGATGTGGGAGGTCAATGCCACGGGTATGTAGTCCTTGGAGCCACTGGGACGCGACGTCTTTGGCACAGGAACGAGGCAGGATGTCTTCCACAGCAAGGGGACCCTCTGGAGACTCTTGAAGACATGCTTTTTTCAAGACCAAGGTGGCAAAGGCCTGTGGCGGGGGGGCATCTTGACAGCTGTAGTTTTAGATACGTTCCCCCCCTCTATTAAATATGAAAGGAGGCCCCCACATGCTTGAGCTTTACACTGCTGACTTGTATAATCAGAACAGACATGTCCTGTGATTTCCAGCCTTCTATGATTATATTTACCCTTTACAGCAGGCACATCCTGACAGCTGAGAATATTACTGTCAGGTATTGTCCCCCCTCTATTAAATATGAAAGGAGGCTGAAAATCACAGGACATGTCTGTTCTGATGTAGTCTCACCACTAGACAATCAGAGATCTCCGCCTTCTGATAGTCTGGAGACACTCCTCATTAAAGTGTGTTTAACACACTGGAGAAAACGGCCGGCAACAAAGCAACGCCTCTTGCATTTTTTAAAAGGACACGCCTTCTCGGAAATGTGCACTCCCCCTTTTCTCGTCCGCAAGGAAACAAACACACAGAGAGCTTGAAAATGGATGTCGAGAGATTTAACTCCGTTTTATCAAACGTGTGCTCAGTCCACAAGATTGTGGAAATGAAGGACTTACAGCGACTTTGTTTAAAACTTTTAAATCAGTCAGACTATGTTTACGAGCACAAGAGCTCAGCGAGCCACCGAAGGACTGCCCTGCAGATTTACTATTGGTTCTGCAATGTAGGGAGTTTTTTTTTAAACTCTGAAATGGTATTCGCCCATCTAAACACAAAATTAGGGAGAAAGACATCAGTCTTTAGTTAAGCAAAGGGTCTAAAGACTGACTTGTGAGTCTAGTTCTGATGATACAAGTCAGCGGTCCTGAAATGTCCGTTTCTCTTCTATAATACACACTCTACATCTCGGAGGCAACGTCTTTCCACATACTGGCTTACTTCGCCTTTCAAACATGGCAGAGCTCTGTGGGGAACAGTAGGAGAGACACAGCCTGAGGGGGAACCGGGATCTGACACAACACCGAAGGGAGAAGCAGGTCCGTGGAGCTGTGCGCCGGATGAAAAAACAGGCGTGTCACACCGAATGCGCGCCGCTACGGCTTCGCTTTGGGTTGTGAGCGCACATGACGTGCGTCGATATTGAAAGTAATGGGTTTGTTCGCACAAAAGATGCTACATTTGAATGCCCCCCATGCACACACACACGCTTTAACCAATGCAGCGGCCAAATCACCCAGGCGTCCCGCCTTTGTCTTAGATAGGCAGGGAAACCCCTGGCAGGGGAACAACAGAGCAAATCTTCATACTGCGAAACATAATTGAACAGTTTAATGAGTGGCAAGCTACACTATACCTGAACTTCATAGACTTTGAAAAAAGACTTTCGACTCTGTCCACCATGAAAGCATGTGGAAGATTATGAAGAAGTACGGGATCCCTGGAAAAATGGTGAGAACATTTTACGAAGACTTCCAGTGTGCAGTAGAAGACCAAGGAGAAACATGTGAGTGGTTTGACATTAAAACCGGCGTCAAACAATTATGCAATATGTCAGGATTCCTGTTCTTGATTGACATGGATTGGGTAATGAGAAGAACAGTTGGACATGGAGAGAATGGGATCAGATGGAAGCTGACTTCAAAACTCGATGACCTGGACTTCGCAGACGACGTAGCATTGCTGTCCTTGATGAGTAGGACTCAAGGTTAACACACAAAAGACAAAAACCATGAGGATTAATGCAAGAAACCAGGAAAGCATTAAGATCAATGGGCAAGACATCAAAGATGTAGACAAGTTCACATACTTAAGAGCCACCATTTGTAAGGAGGGAGGTGGTATGAAAGACCTGAAGAATAGACTCTCAAAAGCAAGAGGTGCATTCATCAGACTAAAAAACACTTGGAGCTCCAACAGCATCTCAAGAAGAAGGCTAAGACTGTTTAAGACATTAGTAGTGCCAGTATTACTCTATGGATGTGAAACTTGGAAAATGAATAAGGGAGACAACAAAGCAGTTGATGTGTTCCATAATAGGTGCCTACGAAGAATACTCCGTATACATTGTCAGTCAATGTCAGTACTTAAGAGCTGCTAGATAGGGCTGAAATGAAACTGCTGAGCGAGAAAGTGAAGCTTTGTAGATGGAAAATGATTGGACACATACTAAGGCAGGACAAAAATAACGACTGTAACATAGTAATGACTTGGGCACCAGAAGGAAAAAGAAGAAAAGGAAGACCAAAGACCACACGGAGGTGTACAGTTGAGAAAGAACGTCAAGATGGGAATCATGGTCTGAAATGAGGACTGCAGCAACTGACTGGGAAAAGTGGAAGCGCTCTGTGAAGGCCTTATGTGCCACAAGGCACGAAGTAGATAGGTAACAGGTAAACAGGTAACTTAAAACATAGTTTTATCGGATAGCTTTTCCTGATTTTACTTGAGTTTTAAGTTCTTTTGAACTGCCTTTTATTTCCTTGGTTTCATACACCACAGTGTTTTCATCTGCTTTCTTTTAAAACCTGTTGTTTTTATGACAAAGGGTCATAAAAAGCACTTTGTAGCCCTGTATTGAAAAGTGCTTTATGAATAAAAATTATTGTTATTATTATGTGTGCTTCTGTCAGATAGTCAATTGTGCTAGCACAGTATAAATAAGCCCAAGCTTCAGACATCCAGCAGCTACCCACTGCCAATTCAGCAGGTCTCACCACCAGTACATGGACCTGAATATGTTGAAATGTGTAAAGCTTAAAATGCTCTACAAACTATAAGAAGCCACAGGTTGAAACAAACTACTGGCTGAGGCTTCAAGCTACTGTTAGACATGCAGAAGAAGAAGTTTCATTTGCATTCATCGTAGTAAAATCCATGCCTTTCCCAAGAGTTAGTTGCATGCCAGAAAGACAGACCAACGAGAGAGAGAGGAGCTTTAATATTGATGCATCTCTTCAGACAGAGTGTGTGTAAGGCAGTGAGAGTACAAATTCAGCAGCTGGTGTGTATGTGTTGCATTGTGCGATCACCCTCCACACTGTCCTGGGCAACAGGATGGTTTCCCTTTTCTCTCTCCTCCATCAAACCCAGTTCAGTAAGCCTCACATCCTCTGCATCAGATCTGATAACCGCCATACTGGATAAAATCTAGCTGCACTCGTCTCTAAGAAGTCCTTCCCCGGGGTACAACTGCCAGTGCCGAACTCAGCATTAAAATATAATTTTGATGGTCATTATTAAGATAAGCATCGTGTTCATCTGGCAGAAGATTACACTGATAACGTCAGAGCTTAGAACAAATGTCCTTTCAAGGGACTTTCTTGTTCAAAGTTATTAAATGAAAAAGTCCCTCTTGGCCAATCACGGGCCTTGCTACGAAGGGCAAGTGTGGGCATACCTGGTAATCCTAAATGTGGTATTTCCAGGAGTCTCCATTGCCTGTACTTGCACATTGCAGTTTTATCTAAACAATGCGCTTTCCAGGAAGACTGGAACAGAAAATCTGTTAGTCACACATCACTGGCTAAATGATGGTATCTTTCTTTATGATGTATGCTCCTATATTCAGGTTCAGGTATCTGTAGTTGAAATGACATCTACTTTGTCTTTTTTTCTACCAAAGAAACATTAACAAGAAAATGAGTTACTTTTTCTGAGTAAAACCCACTCACAGTATCTTCCTAATCTTATGAGTGAAACAAACTGCCAAATATTTTATGATCCCCCTTTTAAAGGAGACATATCATCAGGTTCATATTTGTAGTCTGAGATGCTTTAATGTTCAGAAAACACATTATTTTCTCATACTGTCCATGCTGGAACACCCTCTGCCTGAAGCACTCCATTTAAGTATCTCTCTTGAAAAGGCCCAATCTGCTCTTGATCAAGAATTATTTATAAGGTTATTCTACTTTATTTGCACACACATAAGACTGCATAAAATCCAGACTATAAAAAATGTGTCAGGAGAGGTCAAGACGCCAAACAACACACCTCTCCTCACAACACATCTCACTCCGACCTCGTCACATTTCATCATCACGATTGGAGATGGACTTTCCATGTCAAGATATGACGTGAAAGGTACCCTGGGTGCATTAGTTGCTGATGTTCTGGGACAGCATGTCAACTTCAGCCTGTTACATGCATTGTCTGTTTTCAAAATAGACTTCTGTTTTTACCAGAAATGTACAGTTTGCGTACAGGTGCTTTCAAAATAAGTGCACTATATCGGCACAATACCAAGAATTGATATTTTTGTCCTTCAACAAGAAGTGCACATGGTTATGTTCTATGTTTTAAACCCAACACACACACGGTTGGGTTTAATCAACAGAAGCATGTGGTTGGGTTTAGGAAAAAAGAACAGGGTTTGGCTTTACAATGTTACAGGAAGTGAACACCGACCTCCTGGGTGAAAGTTGGTGGTTGATGGACCCATACACCACACCTCCCGCCCATTCTAGTCAGACTTCTGCTGCCTAAGTTTTGTTCTTGTCCCGCAGCATTTCCCCTGACACCAACCACGCGGACGGCTTTTTTGATAGGTGCCTGATGCTGGAAGTCATTGACCAAGGGCTGTTATTTGATGACTTTGGAGTGAGACAGAGTTGTTCTTCAACTCAAGGAGAAAAACAAACAATAACCAAAAGGGAAGGAATAAACTAACTTCTTGTTGTGTTGGCTAGAAAATTTCACAGAAAGTAAATGACAACATGAAGCACATATAATGAGCAGAAAACTAACCAGTCACTAAACAATCAAATGAAAACAATGAAAGAAAAGAAAACATATACGCATGACAAGAAACACTTAGACATCATGAACTGAATGCCAGAATAATTTCCTTTTAAATTTTCCAAGGATAACAAGTTCTTCATAGTGTGTATTTTGGCTGAGGGAGTTCTGGCCATGTTTTATTTTGTAAATAGTAAGATGAGTATGATCAACCTGTGTGGTAGTATAAGAATGA